AAGCCCAGATCCCTCCCTGCATGGGTGTGAAGCGGTTCAGACAACAGCCTGGGGTGAGGTGGTCTGGTGCCAGTTCACTTTCAGATCTGATCTTTGCAAGCAGGGTTTTAGACATGCGCAGTGCTCAGGCCCGAGTCATCTTATTTTCATTTGCAGGGAAACTTCAGACTGTAACGACTACAGTGAGGCAAGATGGGAGGAAAACGGGGGAAACTGTTACTCCCTCTTGTTGGTAACCCGTGCTAGCCCCACGCCCGCCCGGAACCGGCACTTGTAGCTAACTCAGCCAGCGCACTCCTGGCTTGATGCGGTTCTCGGGTTTCCATTGAACCGTTCCGCCAGCTGTTGCTGCTGTTACCAGTGTTCCCAGGTGAGGCTCGGAAAGTTCAAGAAATCAGCCATTATCGCCCAGCTCTGCAAGTCGCAGAACAGGCTTAGCCTGTTGAGATGATTAAGTGCTAAAACTCGTTAGTTATTTATTCATTTATTTAATCAATTAGTGACACCGAGGAACGGAATTTAGGACTCCATGCTACAGTCTCACTGAGCTACACCCTCAGCCCCTCTCCCCCACCTTTTTTTTGAAAGGCTGAGAAAAGATTTTGCTAAGTTGCCTCAAGTTGCCGGGGTTGGGCTTGGCTTTGTGATCTTCCTGCCTCGGCCTCCTAAGTACTGGAATTTTCTAGCATTGCCTTTTTTTTTTTTTTTTTTCTTTCTCTTTCCGTCAGTGTTGGTGATGAAATCCATGGCTTTGTGAATACTAGGCATATGCGCTAATCACTGAGCTACACTTCCAGCCCCACAGCCTATACTCTCAGCCCCTAGTAACACAGTAAAAGAGAGGCTGACTTCAGGGGACAGGGAAAGCAGTGAAACGGAAACAGTCTTTGGGAACCAGACAGAGGCTCACCCTTCCTCGTAGGAAGGCATAGGGAGGCAGAGCCGACAGGAGCACTGTGGAATTCTGTCCAACCTGGATTACATAGTGAATTCCTGGCCATCTGTGCTAAAATGTGAGACCCTGTCATCACAAAGAAAGGAAGCAGAGCCCTGGGCTAGACCACGCAACTCAGAGACACTCATTCACCTGTTCACTTGAAGCCCAAGCAGAATGCACTCCTGAATCTTGTTGCATCTAGAATAGCCATGTGGCCCAGGCTCCCGTTATAACGAGATATGAAGGTGGGGTGGGGGGCATTTGCTTAAGCTGGGGAAAGTAGGCTATTGAGAGAAAAAGTGTGCATGTGAGTATAATATTGCCCCTGACACAGATTCCAAGGCTGAGCTGATATGGATGCTTCAGCTTGGACAGCCACCTGGTGACCACGAGGCTATAGGCTATGGGCTGAACAATACGCTGATGGGGGAGGAGTAACCCGAACATCTCGTGCTGTATGAACAGCAATCTGCCTGTAGAATTGTTGCTCAGCTTGTTTTGTTTGTTTGTTTTTCGAGACAGGGTTTCTCTGCATAGTTCTGGTTTCTGTCCTGGAACTCACTCTGTAGACCAGGCTGGCCTCGAACTCAGAGATTCACCTGGCTCTGCCTCCTGAGTGCTGGGATTAAAGGCATGCACCGCTGCCACCACCACCTGGCCAGCTTTTTTTTTTTTTTTGGTTTTTCGAGACAGGGTTTCTCTGTGTAGCTTTGCGCCTTTCCTGGGACTCACTTGGTAGCCCAGGCTGGCCTCGAACTCACAGAAATCCGCCTGGCTCTGCCTCCCGAGTGCTGGGATTAAAGGCGTGCGCCACCACCGCCCGGCCTGGCCAGCTTTTTTAAAAAGACTTGTTTTATTCTATGTGTGAGTGTATCTCATATGTGCCTGATACCAATGGGGGTCAGATCTCCTGGAGCTGGAGTTACAGGTGGTTTATGGGCCACATGGGTGCTGGGAACCAAGCCTGTGTCCTCTGCAAGAACAAGTGCTCGTAACTGCTGAGCCGTCTCTCCTGCTCCAGTTGCTACTTTTGATCTTAGCCAAATGGCCAAGAACTGAGCTACCTCAGGAATGTTCCAGAAAACTGGTAAATGTTTTTGTTGCGCTGGGCGGTGGTGGCGCAGGCCTTTAAACCCCAGCATTTGGGAGGCAGAGGCAGGCGAACCTCTGAGAGTTCGAACTCCAGCCTGGTGTACAAAGTGAGTTCCAGGACAGGCTCCAAAGATACATAGAGAAACCCTGTCTCAAAAAAAAAAAAAAAAAAAAAAGTTTTTGTTGCTTGTGCCTTGGTGAAGAGGAAGTAAGGCAAACTGGAAGAGTCAGGTTTATATCCTTGATCAAGTGACTGACTTGTTTGAAGCCTCCATTCACTCATCTCTGAAATGGGGATAATTAGCATTCTTGCAATGATTAAATGAACTAGGGGCAGCGGGGCGGGGGTGGGGTGGGGTGAGGGGGGGTGGGGGGTGTTGAAAAACTACAAAAAGTGCCTGAAAAACTGGGTATGCTGTTGCCCTTTGGATCCCAGGAAGACTGCTGTGAATTTGAGACCAGCTTGGGCTGCAGCATAAGACCCTGTCTCAAACAAAACAAAACCAAATCCCACAAAACTGATGACAACAAACTAAAGCGCCCAAAGTACTTGGAACATAGACGTGCTCTCTGAGTTCTGGGGGCACCATCCTCCCTTCCTGACTTGAGTCCTATAGCACCCAACTTTCTGTCTTTTTTTTTTTTTTTTTTTTTTTTTCTTCGAGACAGGGTTTCTCCGTGTAGCTTTGAGCCTTTTCTGGAACTCACTTTGTAGCCCAGGCTGGCCTCGAACTCACAGAGATCCGCCTGGCTCTGCCTTCCTGAGTGCTGTGTTTAAAGATGTGCGCCACCACCGCCCGGCTCCAATAGGGTCTTACCGTGTTGCCTTGCCATATCGCCTTGCCATGTCTAGCCTGGCAATCCTGCTGCCTCAGCCTCCTGAGTCCTGAGATTACAGGGCACCATGTGCAGGCTCGCTTGGAATTTGTTTGTTTGTTTGTTTGTTTTTTTTCGAGACAGAGTTTCTCTGTGGATCTCTGGCTGTCCTGGAGGATAACCTTGAACTCTTAATCTTCCCTTTACCTCCTAAACGCAAGAATTACAAGTGTGTCCTACTAGGCCTGGCTCTGCTGCCGATCTTGTTGACCATTAGGAAGGCACAAGAAGGCTGTTCACAGGGCTGGCAGCTGGTGTTGGCTCTTGCCTGAGACCTCAGCCTCTGTCAACTGGTGCTTCAATTCCCTTTTTGTGGATTCTCATAGTGGGAGAGTTGGCGCCAGGAAGGAGGAAGTAGAAGCTGTCAGCCATCTTAAGCCCTAGGCTTGAGGGCTTCACCACATTACTTGTGTTTCCTTAGGGGAACAGTCTTAGAGCCAACCCTAAGTCAAAGATCAGGACATAAGTCAACTCTTTCATGGAGGAGTGGTCTGTGCAAACCGAGAGTGAAGGATGAAGGCACGCATCTTTGCTGATTTTCTCCCTGCGATTTTCACTCAGCTGGGTTTAACTTTGACTCTAGTGCCTGCCCGCTGATGTCACTCAGTGCAGGACCACCTACAAATCTCACCCAAAGCAGCATATCTGGCTTCCTTTTGGATCTTTTTCCTGACATCCTTGAATATGTATTTTTCACTGTTCATATCAGTTATTCTCTGAACATATACATGTATATGATATGTATATGACTGAATAGGTATACATTTTCAGTATATATACTGCACTTGAATCAATAATTATTCCTTTTGATGTACTTTTATTACATTTAAAATATTATTATTACCATTATTAATTTTAAGATAGGGTTTCCCTATATAGCCCTGGCTGGCCTGGAACTCACAGAGATCTGCCTGCCTCTGCCTCCTGAGCCCTGGGGTTAAGGGTGTGTGCACCACCAAGCCAGGTTTAGACTTGGCTTCTGTGTGAATAGACCCCTGGAGTGAAGGGTGGGTACTTGTAGAACTTTAAAGCAGGGACTGCCACAGTGCAGGTGGGAAATCCTGGAGGTGACAGCAGAGCTAGGGTAGGGTTCATTTTATTCACACTGAAGACATTTTATATGGTTTGCGTCCCAGACAATGCCCCCCCCCATATATATGGCTGACAATGTCTATTTTATTTCACTAACCCAACTCCAAATTTCTTTCCAAGTTCTTTTTACATAAAAGCTATCCTCAAGCCAGGGTTGGTAGCATAAACCTTTAAGGCAGGCGGATCTCTGAGCTGGAGGCCAGCCTGGTCTACAGAACAAGTTTGAGGACAGCAAAGGCTGCATAGAGAAACTATCTTGAAAATCTAAAAAGAAGGAAAGAAAGAAAATAAGACTATGATTTATTGCATTTGACTTTTATTTATTTATTTTGGTCCGACACCTTTTTATTTTCTTAGTCCAGGCTGGCCTTAAACTTGTTTTTGGAGGTTGACTTTGAAATCTTCCTTTCTCCTGCCTCCACCTCCCAAGGCATGGATCACTAGCATTGGCTTCACTTGTTTATGGTTTGTTATCTTGGTGTATAAGCTCGTTCTGTAGAATGCTGCCCATTTTGAGTTTTTCTTATTTATTTAATTTTTTTCAAGAACACTACCGAGGTAGCCTTCTCCTCTGCATCGCATCCTATCAGGAGACATATGGTGACAGTTTGAGCCACTCCTGGTGACACTAAGTTCAAGCCGCCCTTGGTTAAGGTAGTGCCTCTCAGTTCTTCCCACTCTAATGCAAGCTGTTCTCTGGTGTAAATCATGAGACTTGAGAGACCACACCTGGGGACTGAACACCTCGTGAGCCTCAGTGACCCCCCCAGCCAGTGACATAGCAGGGCGTCTGAAAAGTAAGGATGACGCCCCCTCAAATGTTAGTCTTGAGGACCGGTGCTTGGCGCACAATGGACACTCCATAGATGTCAGGAATTCCAGGATGGAGATGAGCACGCGGAAAAGCTAACGCAGGACCCGGAGTCACCCAGACTGCCTGGCCACGCCCCCTACCGCGCGCACGGCCCCCTGGGACCCGTAGTGCTGGGCGTGGCCGCGGGACTACAAATCCCGGCGGCCCCCGCGCCGCGGCTTCAGCGGCGGCCGCCTCAGCTCCTCAGATCGCCGGCGGCGGCCTCGGCGGAGTCGGTGTCGGCGGCCGGGGCTGAGCTGTGAGTTTCCGATTGAGAGCAGCGCTGGGGAAGATGGCGGCGAGCGGTGAGTGGAGAGAAAGGCGGCGGCGGGAGGCGGGTGAGGCCAGCGGCATGGCCCCGGGCGGGGGTCTCGGGGTCGCCGGCAACGCGCGGCGCAGGCGACAGGGATCGGGCGGGCGGCGCTGGTCTCCGGGGCCCGCGCAGGGTCGCGAGGAGTTCGCGGCCGCGGCCTCTGCTGCTTGAGCTCCCCCCGCCGAGTCCGCGTTTGGGGAAGCGCAGCGCAGCCTTCTCTTCCCGCCGGCGCCGCCCGGCGGGGCGGACTCGGGCTCTTCGGGCAGAGGCTGCGGCTCCGCTGCGAGCGGGCGCGGCGGACGCGGAGTCTGCGGTGCGCGCGGGGTGAGTGCGGGGCGTGTGCGTGGTGAGAGCAGGGTCTGTGGTGTGTGGGATGGATGTGGGGTCCGCGCGATGCGCCAGGTGTGTGGTGTGGATCCGGTGTCTACAACGTGTGTGGGGTGGATGCAGGGTGAGTGTGGGGTCTGCAGGGTGCATGCAGGGCGTGTAAGATGAGTGTGCGCTGTTCGAGGTGTGTGCGGGGTAGGTGGAGGTGTGAGGGATGAGTGCAGGGTCTGAGGTCTGTGTGGGGCGAGTGCGGGGTGGAAGCGGGGTCCGCGATGTGCAGAGGGTGGATGCTTTGCGGATGAGGAGTTTGAGGTGTGTGTAGCGTGGATTCCGGGGTGAGTGTGGGGTCTGCCCTCTGTGCAGCGTCCATGTCGGCTCTGGTATCACCTATCACTGCGATCACTTTCACCTTCCGAAATTCCCAATCTTGATTCGTTCATTGATTCTGTTTGCAATAGTTTAAATGAACCGAGCCTCACACACAGCCTGTGAGAGAAGTGGGAGGCAATGCTACTTCCTAGGCAGTTTGAGGGCGCCCAGGGTGGAAAAGTTAACCAGTAGAGCAGCTAAGAGAGGCCAGAGCATCTCAGGCCCCGTCCTGACTCCATACTGTATGACACGGAAGATTGGAGACTGTCTTGAAGTCGAGTAACTTTCCCCCCTCCCAAATGCAAAGACTTCCTTTTTTGCAGTTTCTGAGTAGCGCTTCAAAGCCAACTTGTTTTTGTAATTAAGCTTGTGTGGTAAAAAACCAGGAAGGCGAATCAGTCCCCTGTCTGTTGCAGGGCCAAGTGGATTGAATGAGATGAGAGCGCCTGTTTCAGGGTTGCCGTGGCCGGAGATTTAAAAGCCAGCCTTCGGATCGGCTGGCCGATCTGTGCTGCACGGAAGCCTCAGTATTTGTTTCTGCAGGTTGTTGAATAGATGAGATGCTGGAGCCAGGGGAGGAGTGTGGATTCCAGATCTTCAGCAAATATGCTGTGGAAATGGTAGTGTAAACCTCTGAGTTCGTGAACTGTTTGTTCTTTAAAAAAATCAAATGGCTGTCAGCTTATTTAGAATAGGTTTTTCCAGACATGACACCCAACTGAAAAGACATAAAAACACTGAAAAAGGAAGCTCTTGACTGCAAACCCTCTCTGAGGCAGTGATTGCTAGCATTTCATGGTGTATGTTTGGCTTTGGGACCAAAGACCAGCTGGTGTATACTAAAAGCAGGAGCAGGGAGAAATGGCATGGGAATCGTGTTTTCTTTTTTGCTCTCTTAAAACCTGGAGGTACTGGAGGGATGGCTAAGTGGTTAAGAGCCGGATGGTGGTGGCACACACCTTTATTTAATTCCAGCACTCAGGAGGCAGAGCCAGGTGGATCTCTGTGAGTTTGAGGCCAGCCTGGTCTACAGAGCGAACTCCATCCAGGACAGGCACCAAAAACTACACAGAGAAACCCTGTCTCAGAAAAAACAAAAAACAACAAACAAACAAACAAAAAGCACGGGCTGCACTTCCAGAGGACCCAGAACTGATTCCCGGTATCCAGCAACTGTCTGTAGCTCCAGTTCCAGGGGATCACTCGCCCTCTTCTGGCCTCTGTGAGCACCAGGCACCCACCTGGTGCGTGGACATACATTAAAAAAAAAAAAAAAAAAAAATCTTGGTAGCTGCTAGAAAGGCTCTTTTGAATTTAGTGCTTCTGTTGCTCAGTGTAAAACCCTTAAAGAAATAATAACTTGTGGCATGAAGAACCCTGTGGGTTCATTGTAAGATGAAGCCTCTGTTTGTAATGTGTAAAATGATATCAACACAGTAGCTCCTGTGTCACTGGAAGTTGCTTCAGGTTCTGAATTTAAATGAGCAGTAATCTAAACTACCTGTGATCTTAAATTATAGGGTATTTTTTTTTTTTTTTTTTTTTTTTTTTGGTTTTTCGAGACAGGGTTTCTCTGTGTAGCTTTGCGCCTTTCCTGGAACTCGCTTTGGAGACCAGGCTGGCCTCGAACTCACAGAGATCCGCCTGGCTCTGCCTCCCGAGTGCTGGGATTAAAGGCGTGCGCCACCACCGCCCGGCTAATTATAGGGTATTTTATATGTTGATAAGAAAGACTTAATTGACCAATCAGCATTAAAAAACAAAAAGGCTCATGCCAGCTTTTGACATATAGAAAGAAGTACATTTTGTAGTTGGAAAATTGTGGACTAGGTGGGTTTAACTGTAAGCAGTTTCTATCAGAAAACATCCCTTAACTAAAGAGGTCTTCAAAACACAGACTTCAGCATATAATCAAGATGGTCTTTTTTTTTTTTTTTTTTTTTTTTTTTAAGATATATTAATTATAGATATAGCGTCCTGCCTGCAGGCCAGAAGAGGGCATCAGATCCCATTATAGATGGTTGTGAGCCATCATGTGGTTGCTGGGAATTGAACTCAGGACCTCTTGAAGAGCAATCAGGTCTCTTAACCTCTGAGCCATCCCTCCAGCCCCAGTCTTTTTTTTTTTTTTTTTTTTTTTAAGATCATTTTATGTGTGTATTTTGCTTGCTTGTCTGTGCACTATGTGCATGCTTATTTCCTGAAAAGGTCTGAAGAGGGTGTCAGTTCCCCTCGAACTGGATTTAAGGATGTTTATGAGCTGGGCATGGTGGCATACTCCTTTAATCCCAAATCCCAGCACTCAGGAGGCAGAGGCAGATGGATCTCTGAGTTTGAGGACAGCCAGGGCTACACAGAGCAACCCTGTTTTTGATTAAAAAAAACAAAAACAAAAACAAAACAAAACATACAAAAATGTTTGTGAGCCATCACGAAGGTGTTGGGGATCAAACCTGGGTGCCCTGTAGGAACTCTTTGTTTTTTGAGACAGGGTTTCTCTCTGTAGCTTTGGAGCCTGTCCTGGAACTAACTCTGTAGATCAGGCTGGCCTCACAGAGATTCAACTGGCTCTGCCTCCCGAGTGCTGGGATTAAAGGCACGTGCCACTACTGCCCAGCTACAGCCAGTGCTCTTAACCAGTGAGCCATTTCTCCAGGCTCCCCCCCCCCCCCCCCCGAATTTATATGTATGGCTGTTTTGCCTGCTTGTGTTGGTATACCACATCTGTGCCTGGTGTCCTCTGAGGTCAGAAGAGGGCGTTAGGTTCTTTGGAACTGGAGTTTCTAATGGTGAGCTGCCTTGTAGATGCTGGGGTTTGAACCCTGGTCCTCTTTAAGTGTATGTAGCAAGTGCCTTTAACCAGTAAGCATCTCTCCAGCCCCTGTCTTCGGTGTTTTGAGAAGGTCTCATTGCTCAGGCTGTTGTGGAACCTGGAGCTTATAGTTCAGTTTGGTTTTGAACTCATGATCTGCATGCCTCAGCTTCCTGGTTCTGGGATTAGAGATATGACACCTCATTCAGCTAGGATGATCACTTTTTGGAATTTGCATCATTAAATTAATTAATTTAGGATAGCATTTAGATCTATAACCTAGGTTGGCCCTGAGTGATTGAGCTGTCTCCTGCTTTAGCCTCTCAAATGGGATTATAGGCATGTTCCACTTTGTTTGCTAGAATGCTTTTAAACATTAGCACAGGGCAGTTGGAGAGAAGGCTCAGTGCTTAAGAGTACTTGCTGCTTTTTTTAGAGGACCCAGGTTTGGTTCTCAGTACAACCTACTGTACCTTCAGCTCCATTGCACCCAGTACCCTTATCTGCCTTCCCCAGGCTCCTGAATATGGTGCACATACATACACACAGGCAAACAGTCATATACATAAAATAAAAATTAATAATAAAAAAATAGTAACAGCTGCCGGGGTGTGGGTGTGGGTGTGTGCGTTCAAGCTGCAATATGCCTTTAATCTCAGCACTGGGGAGGCAGATCTCTGAGTTAGAGGCCAGCATGGTTTACCAAAGCCAGTTGCAGGACAGTCAGGGTTACACAGAGAATCCTTCTTTAAAAACAACAACAACAAAATTTACTAACAGTTCATTAAAATAATTGAATGGGGGCCTGAGAGGTGGCTTAGTGATTAAGAGAACTTACTTCTTTTCCAGAGCACTTGGGTTTTGTCACATCTCTAACTCAAGTTCAAAGAATCTAATGCTCCCTTCTGGCCTCCATGGGCTCTTGCCTGCATGTGGTGCACATAAACTCATGCAGGCACACACACATTAGGAAAAACTTAGAAAAAACCCAGAATGATAGTAGAGCTAGGTTATTAGGGATTGTATGAAATCACTTCTGACTTTTTAAAATAAAACTTAAATGTATTTAATTTTATGTGTATAGGTGTTTTGCATGTATATATATGTCCATGCACCATGTGTGTTGGTGCCTGAGTAAACTTCTGATCCCCTGTGACTGGAGTTGTAGGCAGTTGTGAATTGCCATGTGGTTGGTTACTTGGATTTGTGAATCCTCTGCAAGAGCAGCCAGTGCTCTTAACCCCTGAGATAGCTCTTCAGCTCCGTGTTTATATTTTTTTGAGTGCTGGGCCAAATGCATGCTCTACATTGGTCCACATCCCTAGCTAATTTCATTATACTTTGTAAGTGATTTTAGGGTGCATTTTCCCTGGTATAAAAATTTCTCAAAAAAAAAATTTCTGTAGGGCATCTCCACCCTCTTAGTAAATAGGAACTCGTTTAGTAGGGAGGGAGTGTACTGTGCGGACCTGGATCCTCTTTCT